TACACTGTTTCACAAGGTTGGCTAAATGCATAGTAACAGATGTCACCAGAGTGCCATTCCGAGTATTTTCAGTGTTCTGGAATTTCTCTGTCTCTTCCTAGTCACTTGCTCCCAACCCCCACCCAGCTCTTGGAAGCCACCGATCTTTCCCCATCTTCACGCTTCTGCTTGAATGTCATGTACCTGGATGCACATGGCCCATAATTTTTCCTGGTCGGCCTCTGCCACTTAATAATAGACATTTAAGTGTTCTCTCAGTCTTTCTTTTTAGTGTTGAATAACCCTTGATTCTTTTGTTCTAATGTTTAACATTCCTTTCATATTTCATCTTTACCCCTTCTGGAGCTTACGTTGGTGTAAGGATTGAAGTTGAGATCTAGTTTATTTTTTTATTTTTGTAAATATCCAGCTAGTTGTCTTAAGGTCAGTTACTGAGTCGTCAGTCTTTGAAATGCCAGCCTGCGTTATGTACTTGGTCTCACTTCTAGATGTGTTAGTCTGTTTCATTGATTTGCCTGTCACTTCCTACAGCAGGACTACACTGTTAATCACATTCTAAACACACCCCATGTTATTTGTGGTCTATTTCTTCTGTCATTGCTGACCACGTTACATCTGTGAATTCCTTGCTGTATTTCCGGCAGGTTTTGCTTTGTATTATATCTTATCTCACCATGTGACATGCTAAAATCCCATCACTGTAATATTTAATGAGAGGCTCAAACTTTCATTAGTACGAAGTGACCAACTCTTTCTTCTTTGAGCCTTTTGACTGATAGGTTCCAAAGCCACTTTTCCTGTTCTCATGTGATGTGTATTTCCTTAGAAAGGTATACCTTTTCTTTTCTTAACTCTATCCTGTTAAGTCTTTACAATATTACTGAACTTAACTAAATTGTTCTAGTTCTTACACTTGATAAAATAGCCTAACTTTACATATGTACACTCACACCTACTCGTACTTTTACCCCCTCATTTGATACAATGTGCATTAATTGCAAAGTTACTTACATTTATTATTATATGAATTATTGAATATACTTTCATGTTCATAATGAGTTTGGGGAAAATTAATAAAGATATTTTCTTTTAATTCTATTGTGACATTATTCTACTTGTGATTCTTGTACAACTGTGTGTGTGTTGAGATAGAGGCTTGTTCTGTTGCCCAGTCTAGCACTGAACTTGTAATCTTTAGCTCTCAACTTCCTAGGTAATAGGATTATAGGTATGCACAAAAAAATAAATACAAATTTTCAAGGATGTTCTTCAAGGTAATTTATATTCTTAGAAACATAGTACAGAATTTTTAATTTGAGTGTTACTTCTATAGATGTTTAGACTTATGTGCCAGTCTTGGGCTCTCCACCATAATCTTTGTTTGGAAGCCTGCTATTAATAATTCATATCAAGTATGGTGGTTAAAGCCTATAATGTTGAAGTTGGGAGGCTGAGGGAGGATTGTCACAAATTTAAGGCTAGTTGAGGCTCCATCGTGAGTTCTAGGATCACCTAGGCTATGAGTACAATCCTGAACAATAAACAAAATAAACAATTAATTCCTCTTCCTTCTTTGCTTCTTTCTCCATTCTTCATTTAGCTATTTTTTAAAATTACATAAAAGTTATAGGAAAGCAAAGACAGAAAAGAAACGAACAAAAACCATATAGAACTTAAACTAACTACTAAAGCACACATAAAGGCTATGTATTTTTAGAATTATTCAGTCTAGAAGCCCTCACATGCTCCCCCCCCACCCCCGCAGCCAACAACTTCATCCCAATCATCGAAGCTCAACTAGTAACATCAAATCTTTCCTTTAGCATCTTTTGTCTGAGCATGGTCATTGCCTTTCATTCATGCTCCAATTGTCTCAATAAGCAGGAACACTAGGCTCCCATGACTCTGACCTTCAGCTCTACATACTTAAGCTTCCAGGATTCTTGGTTCTGTGTTCACTAGACAGGAAGCCCATGGAGCTCTGCCAAAATCCTTTTCCTCTGGGCCATGACCTGGAAACTCCCCAGGAAATCATCTGAGACAGGACTCATTTCATTTTCTCACTTTCAGGGACCATTGAAACTTATAAGATTCGAACATTCGTTAGCACTTTTATTCTCCATGACATTAGGAAAAAACCTAATAGAGGGAGACACTATTCCTGTCTTCCAAAAGAACAAGCGAGTCTTACATTTAATTTACTTTCCTCTTAATATTTTCACAGATCTTTGACTTTCTACCTTTAATTAGTATTTTCTACCCCTGTGGAACATCTGGAGATCCCTTGTAAAATAGACTTAATTCGTTCTTTCTTATTCTTGAAACTTACTTTTCCTACAGGGTTTCCAGTTCTTGGTTGACTATAATTTTGTTGTATTTTCTTTGCCTTGCCATTATATCTACTGGAAAGTCATCTATTGGCAAAGCCTTTATTGGATGGCTTCTTTTTAGATGTTATTTTTATTTTTGGATATCAGCAGTTTGTTTTGATGGGACTTGCTGTAGATTTATTTCTATCTATTCTGCTTGGAGTGCATAACATTTGAAGAAATCTGACCCTTTCAGCAGTTTCACTGTGCCAGAACTAACTGTGGATTTACCTTTATTTGTTCTGCTTTGAGTTCAAAACTTTTGATGAAATTATACCCAATCTTTTATTAAGGTTTCTCACATAATTTCTTCAAATATTGATGTTGATCAATTTATTCTCTTATTCAGTTCATGGCATACTTCATCACTCCATAATAAATGGCATTCCCCTGCTTTAGTGTTTGCCATTTAATTTTTCTTTGCTCTTTCTAATTCAGATATATTCCTCATAACTAACCCATGGTTCACAAACTATCTTTCATATGCCCCTAAAATACTGTTAGAACATGAGTGTGTTTATTGAGTTGATTTGAGTTAGCACACACTTTACTTCTGACTTGTCTTTACTTTCTGATTTTTGCTTTCAATAATAACCATTCACAGTTAAAATTTTCAATCTTGCCTTTATTCTTTCATATGAGTATCTAGTATCACTATCTTTCTTTGTTTAAAAAGTTATTTATCTTTATTTTATGTACATTGATGTTTTGCCAGCATGTGTGTCTGCCTGACGGTGCCTGATCCCTTAGAACTGGAGTTACAGACAATTATAAACTACCATGTGGATGCTGGGAATTGAACGTGTGTCCTCTGAATGATCAGGCAGTGCTCTTGACCACTAAGCCATATCTCTAGCCCCAGTGTCACTGTCTTATACTCTGTATATATCAGCAATGTTTTCAGTTCATAGACTGAAAATCTCTCATCTCTGAGTCTCTGGCTACCTTAATTCCTTTTACTGCTTGGTTATTATTTGTGTGTATGTACTAGATATTTTATTTCAAAAATTATTTATAAAAATTGTTTGATGTCGATAAGGTCCCTTCTTTCTCTAGCTACTATCTCATGTGTGTTCTTCTCCAGTGCTTAGGAGCCCTGGAATTTGGGGCTGGTATTAATTTACTTTGGGAATGGAGGTAATTTGAAAATGGGTGTCAGGTTTCAGAAGGCAGACCCTTGGCTGACTCACTGTACTGCCATTGTATGTATCTTTGGGCTTTCTACTCATAATACTCGAAAGGTCTATTAAGAATCCCTCTGCTTTTTTAGCAAGGTGATTCCAGATGTTCTTTGCTGAACATATTCCCCAAGACAAAGGCAGTTTTAAGCTTTAGACTCACAATCTAGAGAGTCACCTTCTCTTGGACCTTGGACAATTCTTTATTGTCTTTAACTCTTTAACACCTTTAAACAGCCTCCTTTTCAAATGAATTTGTGTGTGTATATATATCCATTATCTCTCTATTTCTATCTATCTGACATCTATCTATCTATCTATCTATCTATCTATCTATCTATCTATCTATCCATCTAATGTGAATACTTATATGTGTAGCTCATATGTAATAAACAGCAATAGGAGTACAGGGAATATAATATAATCAGTGAATACAGTGTATGTATATTTCTGTTTAGGTTGTCTAGTTGATATTAATAAGAAAAATAACAAGTTATTTTTACTTTAATTACAAAGAGTATAAATCCTCTCTGTCACCTTTAAACAATATATACTTTTAACGTTAAAAATGGTTATATAATTTTGATACTAACTAAAAAATATCTTTTAAACAATTTTCATATGTTCAGTTTACCACATGGAACCTTCCCATTATGCCTTCCTCAGTCTGAATTTTGTTTCCTCTTCTGCACTTAGTTTTTCAAAAAGCCTTAGGTTCTTCAGAAACCATGGCTAGATGGAATATTTTCCTAACCTTTGTATTCCCAAGAAACTACTACTTGACTTAAAGCATAAACAATATCTTTACTCGGTACAGAAATGGATTCTTAAACAGTTCAGCTATTCTGTTCTCCTGGTGGTTGGGCTGGATTCTGGTGATGTTGCTTGTACTGATTTTGTCTTTCTTGTATACTTTACAAGACTGTCTTAGCCACCAATCTTCAGAAATTACACGAAACTATGGAGGTGTCTGTTCATAATTGAGTTTTCATTACTTTTGCATATATATTCCCTCTTACATTCTGGGCATGGAAGCCAGATTGCATTAGGAAAACATTTTTCTCTCTATTATTTTCCTACAGATTGCTTTATTTCTGTGGGCTCTATTTATTCTTCTTGGTATCCCAAGGATATGGATAAGGAGATTTAGTCTCCTGGGCTTATTCTCCATTTGCCTAACATTTATTTTCATTCTTATCATATATTCACCTCAATAGTTCCAAAATGATTGCTTATAGAATCCAGGCAGGTAACAATAAACAACATAAATAACACTGGTTTGGTTAAAAGTAATGGGTGACAAAGATTGAGGCAGGCAACAGTATCTCACCAAGACGCCGGTGTAAGGAAATAGCATCAGAATTCTACCCTTACGGAAAAACCTCACATCTGACTTTTAATATACAATACTCCTCAATAGAAAAAAGAGCTGAAAAAAGACCGCACAACATACCATTGGAAAGTTCTTGGTCACACACAGCATGATTGGTCACATCGCTGTCCTTTATAGGATTGTCATCCTTTGCAGAATCTGCTAACAGACAGAGTCATCGTTTTCAGCCTTGAAAGGGAGACCATTCTCTTATTGACAGGATAGATTAACATTTAAGACACTATACTTTACTATACTTTATTATTTCCAACTGTAACCATCAAAACACTTAAATATTTTTACCATCAAAATCTATTTTCTTAAAATACTACCTAAGGAAGCCGCACAAAGCTTCAGGAGCAGAGAAAGTCCTGGAGGTGTCTCTGTGACAGAGTAGAAAGCATATAAAGTGGGCTTCACGCACCAGTGAAGTCGCAGAATTGTCGGGAAGAAACATGAAAGCAGGGCAAACTAGAGAGCACTGAAGAGATATCTCATTTTAATGTTCTTAGTGTTCCCAGTGTTCTAGTTGTTCACATATGTGAACCCCAAGTCCCCAGAAAAGTCAAATATTGAACCTTGGTAACCCAGTAGCAAGCTGTTGGAAGGCCTGCCACTTATGGTTGCCGTCTGCCATGTCTGGATAGCTCTCTGGACTGGGCACAAAGTGGAAGACTCCTTTACCCCATCAGGGGCTTCCTACTCTCTGCCCGATCTTACTTGACAGCGCTCCTGGAACATGGATGCCTGATTTCTCCCGAGTTTGAACTTTGACACAGTTTCCTGCAAATGCCTCCCCTGGCACGCATATGATAATTAGGTATTGTGTCCCCACCTGTATGATGGGATCGTGTTGACAAATGCAAACAAACCGTACTATGAGTACCTATTAGGTGATGCCCCAGCTGCTATAACTGTCCTCTATATTCCCTTCACGCTGTCGCACTGAAGCTGGATCCCAGAAGGTTATTTCCATCGTACTCGCAGCCGACCAAGCCCTGTTCACCACCTCTGCTCCCTTTGTCCTCATAGCCTGGTGGCCAACAGACCGTGGAGAAAAGGAAGACCCCAGCAAGCAAGGTCATCCCAAGGTCCCAAAGCAGTTGACAGGAGCAAGAAGGGGGGGATAAAGAACTTCCGTTCTACACAAAGTGATTCTCACCCTCTAAGTGCCCTTTTAAATATGGAATTAGCCCATTTTAATATAACAAATCAAAAATAATGCTAATTACATTTTACGTTAGTGTGCACGCGCGCGCGCATGCTCGCACACATGCTATAAAAAGCACTAGGGCATGCATGTAGAGCTCAATGGACAATTTGTATTATCTCTTTCCATCTACTCTATGGGTCTCAGGAGTTCAGCTCAGGTCGTCAGGCTTGGTGCCAGGCACCTTTTCCTGGTGGACTTTCTTGCCAGCCCCTACACGCTCAGTTTTATTGCTACAGCTCATGCTACAGAGCAAGCAGCACAGGTGAAAGTATTCTGTAGTAAAGAATTCCTGACAGTCCCAATGATAGATGGTGAGCCCTCTGGAGGATCTTGAAAAAAGACTTTGAAAAGAACCTATAGATGGGCCAGCAGCAATATGGAAAGTAGGCCTTTCACTCGTTTTCTAAGTATTTGTTGAGTACAAACTATATGGTAGATGCTGGTCTAGCCTTGGATACCCAACAATGAATAGGTGTCTCCCGCTATGAAGCTTGCAATCCAGATACCTTTCTTACACAGCCCAATGGGACAAAATTCAAGATACCTAAATATTACTAGCTGATCTTGTTAACATTCAGCTAGGGAGAAAATTGGAGCCATCAAACTATGCCTTAATTCCCACGAATTGCTTCTTTGCTCTATGTGTACCCTTAAGCTGTGTTCTAAGACCCTGAAAGCAAAGTCAGATAGAATCTGAAATAAAATTTTGTTTGTTTGTTTGCTTCCCTTCCCTGACTCCCTCACTTCCAACCTCCCCCACACCTCAAAACGGGAAGATAGCTTCAAACATTATGTTTTTCGATGATTATGAGAAAGCATGTTTCTTCAGTCTGCCACAAGCAACATTTGATGGACAAGTGAGAAACCTAGGTAGTTATCATATAATTCAGCTTTAATAACCAGCGAATCAAGTATACACCGGAGTGTGCAGCTTTAATTAACTGCAAATAATTCCCAAAGGCAAGTGCTTAATCATCTTCAGTGCTTCCCAGTTCTTTCTGAGTCTGACAATAAGTTTAAAAGTCAGAAATGGGAAGCAAAATTGGGCACAGACACATTTCCCCAAATTGTTATCTCATGCGTGTCAAAACGGTAAAATCAACTCCCATTAAAACATACTTTGTAATGCTGTAGCTAACGTTGAAGAGATTGAAGAAAAACCCTTCAAACATGTTTTTTTTTTATCCAAATTAACATCAAGAATAAATAATGGTTAAAGAAGCCATTTGTGTCAGCATAAGAAATTGTTTTGGTTTTTTAAGTTTATAGGAAATGTTTTAACTTGGAAGCAGTTTTATACAACTCTTTCCCCCAGTATTAACATTTTAAGACTGAGACTCATGCATTTAGAGCATGTTAATTTATACAGAATAGTAACTACGTATTGTATCAAATGTTACCCCTAAATGTCTATTAGTTTATTTATTTATTTGTTGGTGTTTTTTTAGTTTCGGGTTTTGCTATGGAACCTAGTCATCCTCTGCCTCCTGAAGACTGAGATTACAGGGATGCCGCCACACCCAGGTAAGGAATGTCCTAAATAATGGGTTCTTTTGAGTTCATGAGCTTACAATAGAATGACTTATATGAAGTAGATGAAAAGCATTTGAAAAATTAATCACTAGACTGTACCAGTTTTCATAACCCTGAAATGTCTTTAGCACATTTTTGTGTATGTGTGTGAGTGTCTGTGTAAGTGTGTGTTCATGTGCATGTTCTTCTCATTTTGTTCACCACATTTACCAGTGGGCAAATCGCCATTAAGGAAGTGTGAGCGTAAAGTAAAAGCTAGGGTTGACGGCTGTCTAACATGTGGGATCCATCAGCACTTTTCCAGACCTGCCTTGTGAGACATTCATAGCCCTCTACGATGCTGCCCTGCTGAGTGCCTTTGGTGCTATGGTCCTAGTAAAACACATACACTGGCTGGCTGAAACCCATTTACAGCATAGCTGGGTTCTTGGTGCCCACTGCAGTCCTTAGCATCTGTGATGTACTCACGCGGGCTGCAGTGGGTACCTACCACAGCAAAGAATTTTTCATCTCTCGCCTCTACCAGGAACCCTCCCTCTGCTGTCGAACATGGGCCAGTTCACAGCTTCCATGGCGGACTTTATAAGCCAGGCATGATGGTTAAGGCCTTACTATCTAGTATTCTGGAAGACGGGGAAAGAGTTGTGGGTTCCAGGCCAACCTTGGCTGTCCCAAAGCCAAAAGGATTTAGAAAAGTGGTGCTGAGAATGCTTTTATTTTCCATTTTATTTCTTGTTTTGTTTTTCAAGACGGAGTTCTTCCATGTAGCCCTGGTTGTCCTGCAACTTGCTCTGTAGACCAGACTGGCTTCAGACTCGTAGAGATCTCCTTCCTGCTTCTGCCTCCTGAGTACTGGGATCAAAGGTGTGTGCCTCCACCTCCTGGCTTATTCTTTGATTGGAAGCAGGTTTTAGAAATGTAGTCTAGGCAGGTCTGAGCAGTCAGTCCTCTTGCCTCAGCCTCGGTGCTAGGCTCATAGCATGTGTTACTACTCAAAGCTTTATCTTCTTAGAAGTCAGGGCTTCGATGGCCTAAGGGCCAAAACAGACCATCGCTTATTTTTGTGACATTGGGACTATGAATGATTTGTTATGGTTGAAAACAAGATAATGATATATTATGAACTTTAAAAAGCATGTGAAATTCTTCCTTGTTTATGCATTGTCAAGCACATTGTATTTTACTTTAATTTTTACTTGTTTAAGGTGTTTTAAGGTAATTTAGCTTGCTTAAGGTAATTTAAAATTACCAAAATAACTTTTGAGTTTACAGACTCTACACAGTCTTACATAATCTATAGAGTATATGTCAGTGACTCCAGGGTACAACTTGTTGTGAATTATTCAATTATTTAATGCTGCCAAATAAAGTAGAGATCATTATATATCCTAAAGCATATTCTGATTTTAGGTATGAAATATGTGAAAGAAAATACAACTTGGAGTTATGTTATTTGACTATATCAACACACACATATATCAATGTATATATTAATGTATATACATACATGCATACAAATGTATATTTTATGTGATAATGAAGACTTCATATTAACATGACCCATTAATAAGTGTACTCTGTTTCAAGTGTGAAACTCATCTCCATAAAGCAGGATAAGACCTCAAAGCCCATGACTGCTTTCATAAATAGCCAGGAAGACTGTTTTTATAGGAATCACTCATAATACATTGCTTGAATTTCAAGCTTCATAAACTAGCTACAATGGGTTTGAGCCTGCATGTTCTAAATGATGGGTTCTATTACATCATACTCACTGATGGGTTTTAAATGATAGTGCATTGTTTCTGCTTGAGTGAACAATGGAAGACAAGTTATATATGTATATGAATTTATCCTTCATAACTGAAGGTAAAGTATATTTAGTTGTTGTGGTCTTAATGTTGTATAACCACTGCCAAACTCATACTACAAAACCCTAACCCATAAGGTGATGGTAAGATGAAGAGAGAGCCTGGCTCAGGGAATTGGGCCTTGGTGTTTAGTAGGTGTCTTTCCACAAGAGGACTGAGAGACACATTCCTCCCAGCATGTGAGGACATAGTGCCAAGGCTCTGTCTACAGACTAGAAAGTGGACACTAGCAGGCAGTGTGTGAATCAGTCAATCCCTTTATCTTAGACCTTCCAACTTCCAGAACTACAAGAAATACATTTTTGTTGAGAAGTTATTTCATTTATGAAAATCTACAATAGTCATAGCCTAGGAAACACTGCATATGGTAACATGAGAGCTGACTAACCAGGTTAGGAAACACCACGTATGGTAACCAGAGAACTGTCTAACCAGGCTAGGAAGCCCTATATATGGTAACCATGGAGCTGACTAACTAGGCTAGGAAGCATTACACATAGTAACTAGAGAACTGTCTAACCAGGCTAGGAAGCCCTGCATAT